GATCTTGGCTCAGCGCCTCGGAGGCAGACAATGAAAATCTGTGCGTTTTATAATGCCTCAACGACAACTTTGCTGGGAACCTCAGGGAGATGTGCCAAAATCTTGAGTGAAAAGATTAACCAGTGACATTTCTAACGGGTGAAAAAGCCTGGATGGCTGTCTGGATAAAGATCATGTATAGCACTGGATTGCTTGTAGCCATTACTTATAAGAGAAGGCCTGATCACTTCAACTAGATTATTTGCAAGAGTAAGGGCTCTGGGATCAGGTCCAGACTCTTCATCCAGGATGAGCAGAACAGTGAGGAAGGTAGTCTTTTCATGCAGTGAGACAAAATGCACACAAACCAAAGCTAAAAACCCCAAAAGCATATGATTTGCTCCAGGATCTCTCCCCAGTGCCTGACCAGCCTATGGAGCTCAGCTGGATACAGGAGAACGGCACAGAAGCAAGCAGGATGCAGGAGGAATCATTCTCTGCTTGCCTACGGAGCTGGTCCACAGCCACTACTCCCTTCTGCTCCCTGCAGGTGGAAGGACATGTGGATCCACAGAATGGCAGATCCTTTAGCTCCAGACCCTTTTCCTGACACATCATGCACAGGTAGAACACACCGTCTTCCCAGCCCCCCAAAATAGCCTGCTCACCCACTCCCACAACCAGTTAGCTGTATGTGAGTAATATGGGGCTAATGATGCTGACCTCCCTTTGTACAGCACTTTGAGATCTATGAATGAAAAGCACTGTATACACTAGCCCATACTAGATCAGCATTTGGTATAGTCAATAATTCTTCTGTCTTCCAGCTCTTCCTAGTAAATACAGCAAAGGACTGGTGATAGAAAGGAGTGAGGGACACCCTGCCTCTTTCACTTTTCAAAATCAAAATAGGAAACCTGCAGCTTATTAAGAAAAATACTTTTAAACATCCCCAAAAATCAGCTGCAGATGTTCCATTTCAAATGTTTTATGATGATCCTTCATCTAAGCCAGCGCCACATTTTTTTTTTCCTTGTGCAGCTGGGTAGAGATAATTAAGGTATTACTTTAACTCGCATGCTGTGCCACAATGTTTCCAAAATTTAGTACATTATTTGTGTTCCTGAATGTGAATTATCAGAAGTACAGCTACAAATTGAAAAAGTATCTATTGACATTTTAGAAGAAATGCCATTAAAATTTCTAGTCCTCAAACTATGTCAACACTTGACATATGTCCCTCCTTTCCTTCTCAAAACATCTTTAAAGAGATGAAGCAGTGAGGCTGATATTTATAAATAAGAAACTAACACACTAGAGATTCGCTGACAATTTATGGCAGCTCTATAACCTGTCACAAAAGTAACAGATACCAATGCACGCACGCACACACACTTACATACACACACACTTTTAATGCACATATATACTTATTTATTTAAAAAAAATAAATTAAATTTCAATTACCTCCACCCCAGTTCCCAGAGAACTGACTCGGTTTTTACACCCTCTGCTCCTAAAAAACAACAACAATGCATTTTCCTTCAAAAATGTTCATTATTTTCTAATTACTGAAAAAGTTCCCACATTTTCAACAATATACCAGATTGTTTAATCTAACAATATATAACATGATCCTCAAGGAACATTGTTCTAAGCATTGGTGGTTTACACACATGGCAGAAATCCTTATCTTTAGTAGCTCTGGGAGGTTTGTTTGATTCCAAGGACTAAGATCCCAATCCAGAAAAGCACTTCCATTAAGTCAATGGAATAACTAATGCTTCAGTTAAGCGTGCACTTGGGACCTAAGAATGTAGATTAGCACTAAACAGAAATGGAGTTGGAACTCATCAAAACCAAACTAACAGCTTAGGTTGCACATAGGGCAAGTGTGCACTGAATCTGAAAGCAAGCTTCCCAGCCCAAGCCACGGTTGCTCTGAGCTCCAGCCCAAGCTGCAGCATCTACACAGCTATTTGTAGAGAGCTAGTGCAAGCCCCATCGACATGAGTCTGTGGACCTGGGCTGGAAGGCTCAGGCCCAGATGCTATGTAGACATGCCCATGAACACTGTTGTTACATAGGAGAAGAAAATCTTGGTTCCTGATTGGCTAAAATAGTCATGTGATGAGAATCAGTAAATTTCTATTATTTCTGAGGAGGTAAACTATATTCATAGATTTAAAGGCCAGCAGAGGCCATTAAGATCATCTAGTTTGACCTCCTGCATGACCCAGGCTACAGATTTCACCTGCATCACATCCAGCAACATGTAGCTGAACTAGAACTGATCTGTTAGAAAGACTTCCAGCCTTGATTGAATGACCCCAAGTGACATAAAATTTACCGCATGAGCAGGTAACTGCATGTGGTCATGCAAAGGGCATCTGCCTGTGTAATTAAGGAAACTGCATGTGCAGAAATTTGTTCCCTAATTTAATGTTTGGTGAACATCAGGATTACTGTCCTTCCAAGTAGATACAGCCTTCAGTTTTGTCTTGGTCAGACTTCACCTCTAGGGTGAATAACATCTGACATACATCAATATCAATAGTATCATAACAGTCTCAAAGCCATGAAAGAACAGACATGGAGTTTACCCTGGCAAAGTATCCAGAGATTTTTGGGTAAAAGTGTTCTAACATTAGGATAGAAAGAAATTAGGATAGAAAGAACTATTGCTCAATTTTGACCAGGTCTTGAATGCCTGCAAAATTGGTAATTCAACTCTTTTTCTTCCAAGTATAGTACAATATTTGGGAAGAGTGATTCTGGAAAAGTAGCTCACTGTAAAATGAGTTGAACTTAAACATACATTCAAGGGCTCTTCTCACAACCAGTTTAACATAGCACATGTGCAGAGAATCTGCATGGGACACTTTGAAGTGCGGTGCAATGTGCTAATTCATAAAAACATTTACACAGCAGTAGTAGAGAGCAATATGATTCATCATACACATGGTGCTCTGTGGCAGCAATGCATATAACAATGAGAGAAGCCAGGACAATTGTGCTACATGGACAATTTATGTCCAGAAACCACAGCTGATGTTTTTATTTAGTTTTGAATTTTTGGTAGAAAATTATTGGGCTCTTGTCCAAGGAGAATCTCTCACCTCGAGGCTCTAGCAGTCAAAACACTATATCCAAAATACTTCCCTGAGAAGTGAGAACACAGCATAGCCAGGGTGTTACCTTACATATGGCTCCAGGAGCTGCCCAAAGTGTCTTTTTTTCTTTTTTTTTTTTTTTTTTAAGGGAAGTGGATGTCCTGTAAGAAAGAACTTTGCAGGCATGCAGTGGTCTGGCATGCAAGGATTTCTGGAATTTTCTCTTTCCTGTCCTGCCTGTTAATTGACTGCCTGGCATCAAACAAACTCCCCCATGGCAGCCCCTAGGCAATACGGTCTGTGGTGGTGATTTGGCAGGAAGCAGGATGGGGAAGAAATCTGAACCTACATGCAAAAAGTTCTTTTCCTTTTAGTCCCAGGCTGTGCATCCCAACTCCATTTGCGGACGGAATAGTTTTTCGACTTATCAGGAAGGAGAAGAGTAGAGAGCTGCTTTTAATCTACTCTCCTCTCTCATCTTTTGGGTTCAGTACCTGGCATTTAATTTCCAAAAAATGTACAAGAGAAGCCCACATCTTCAGGGAGTTTGTATACAGAGGGAAATTCGAAGCCCAACCCTAGTATTTCCTGACTCTCTGCTATATCACTTTCATATGAAGTTAAATGAGACAGGACTGTGTTTCTGGAATAACTAAAACCTCAAGGGTGCTCCTTGAAATATCATCTGTGAATGCATAGTGGAATCAATTAAATGAATCTTGAGACAGCAGATCAGCAGAAGTGGTGGCAAGGGGAGCAAGGAAAACTGAAAACCGCTGAGGCAGTTCACTGTGCAATGAATTCCAAACCCAAACAGGATTTCAGTGGTGAGAGATCCAGCACTACCTATGTATCAATTTAAGCCTTGGGCAATTACTTAGAAGAAAAGAATCTCTTCTGTACTTATTTGAAATGCACATTCAAACATATAGATTGCAAAACTCCACCCACATATGGATACTGTGACTAGTCGTTTCTTATTAATGAGTAATGTGCTGCTAACATGAAGAATCAATGCATACAAATATTAAGATGTCTGGTATCTGATACATCATCCAAAGACTGTTCTGTTCTTGCAGAGAAACAAACTTGCTGATTCATAGATTCATAGATTCTAGGACTGGAAGGGACCTCGAGAGGTCATCGAGTCCAGTCCCCTGCCCGCATGGCAGGACCAAATACTGTCTAGACCATCCCTGATAGACATTTATCTGGATCTAATAGGTTTTTTCCATCTATAACTTCTATGTTCCTACTAGTGACTGAAACCATAAGGATAATGTATCTGTCTGTATTTCTGCACAGTTATGTTATGGATTAAATATATTTTGGGAAAACAGACAACATTAAAAAAACAAACAGTACTGTTTGACATTATCTTGTAAGAAGGTCTGCAAGACTACAGATGGATAGTTTGCAAACAATTCATTTGTATGCAGATTAGCAGCTGGAAGGATATGAGAAACAATGTTACACCAAAGTAAATTATCCAACTGGAGTTTAAAATACCTTTTGTTTCTAGGAGCAAAGGATAGCTCCTACCTTATGTATTAAAAATATTTTCTTGCACTGCCTTGATGGAGCTGATTTACGTGACACAAAATAATGTCGTATTTCTCTTTTTTAAAGTTTTTCATAAAATCCAACAAATAACCCATCTACAATCTTGGAGTACATTTAGTTTTAGAAAATTAACTCATTCACTGGTATTAAAAAATGTAACAAGAAAATCTATCAGAAGAAAATACAGCATAACCATCCATTGCCCGGAATATTTTGTGTGGGGGGGATACAATCTGCTGTATCTGATGTCACAATCATATTGTAAAAGTGCTTTTACAGCATTTAATAAATTAAACCTATTATCTGTCAATCATAAGGAGTCAGATTATTAACGTTGTGTGTGTGTGTGTGCAAATAGTTGTGAATGCCTAACTTGTGTCCTGTGCACACAAATACTGTAGATGATTTGTACTTGCACTTTGGGTATTTTTAAGGGTAAGTTAGGCCTGCACAAATGCATGCAAGTTGTCTGCACACCCTGTAGCTGTGAAAAGCTGACCCTTAGTTTCCTTCTTACTCTAAGATTTGTGATACTGGATGCAAATAATAACTTGAATATGCAGAAAATCTAGCCTGCACTGTGTGTATGCTTTGTACAGAAGATAAATTAAACAACAATGAAAATAGTTCCTCCTATAACAAAAAAAATATTAGGAAACCCATCTTTCTTCTTCTTAGTAAATTCAGCCTGACGAGACCTTCATGGAGTACGACGATCAGGGTAAATTAATGTCTCTTCCTGAGTGGCTTTCTAAAAGGTGCACCAAAAGGAATAGCTTCTCTAGGAGTAGAATTTGCTGTTACTGACTTTCTTCTCCTTTAATCTTCAAGAAAAAGAAAATTAAAGTCAACAATTGGGTCAACTCACTTAGCACCGTACAGCAACTAGTGTAACAGCAACACTGTGTACTTCCGTTTCTTTTCTTTAAATTAAAATCTGAACACAGTAACAATATATATATGGCACTTCAAGCTTTGTATACATACTGTATTAAAAAAAGAGCCAAAAATTTCAAAGAACAATGTCATGGACATTCCCACAAAAATGCACACATGAATTACTTTCATATTTCTCTATTTGCATGCTGAAATGCTGGTCCTTGTAGGAACATCCATTTTCCCATCTTTAAATATTTGGTCCCCAAATATTCCAATTTCCACACAGTTTACTACAAGATAAGTGTCTCTTGGGGTGTGCTTATAATTATCACAACATATACTTAACAGCACCTTCCATCCAGGAATCTCAAAAACACACCACACCCCAAGGAGTAAATATCATCCCCACTGAACACAAAGACTCACCAGTACACAGAAGTTATGTGGACTCATGAATAGAACTCATGAATCAACTCCCAGTCCTTTGCTCCTACCACTAGCCTATAATATTAACTAACCTCAGCTCCCCACCTTTAGCTCCACCACAGACTCACAGGGTGGTAGGATAGTTGCCAGCTGGGTTTTCCTTGGATGAATGCCAGCGGCACCTTGCTCCTACTGACCAATCATAACCTGGCTCTGCATTGAACTATGGCATTGGTCACTTCTCTGGTTCTAAAGAGACGTGAAAGACTGGCCTCTGATTGGCTGGGAGGAAAGGATTTGACCCCTCTCCCCGCTTTAGGCTGGGAGAGGAGCAAAGATCCATTCAGGATCTCCTCCTGCTGCAGGAAGGTCCTGTTCTCCCTGTACCCAGCCATGAGCTGGGGCAAGGCTTAGGGCAAGGGGTCTTTTTTCCTTAGGATAGAGTCTGGGTATTTAACTGACAGTTCCATGTTGTCGCTAAGACTAACCATTGCATTTTCATTGGTATTTGGGTCAAACCAGAACTATGTTCTGGTCCCACATGTTCCAGTATGTTTATGTCACTATGTAGTCTTTATGGTGGGTAATTTATTTGGCTGTTTGAGCTGGATGGTAGGGAAGGGTCTAAGCTCCAAAGATTGTGGCATTCAGTGAGTCACTGGGACCAAGAGACTCATCGTCATGTCTGCTGGAGTCTGGTTCAGTGGCAGCTCAAACTCCCTTTAAAAGAGTGAAGCATGGCTTCTGATCCAAGCCAAGTGGGTCAGAAATTATCTTATCTTAATAAAGCTGAAGCCTTTGTTCCAAACAGGACCCCTTAGATATGAGGAGCCTTTTGGGGGGGGCACTGGGCAGAATAAAGAGGATCAACCTACTTCCTGCTGCATGTCTCTTGGTACATTTGTAATTGGTTCTCATTCACACTGAATTCTTTTAGTAAGGCATCTCTGTTAGGGTTCCTTAAGTTCTGGTGAGTGTCATACAGGAACAGCTGGTTGTTCAGTTCTGCTTGGCGCTGCCGAAGTTGCCGACACGATGAATAAAGCTCCTCTTCGCTTTCCTTCAAGAGGAAAAGAACATCAGAAACCAATTCAATGTCTTACACAAGCTATTGTTCCTTGATTTTTCTAAGTAGTAGTTTGTAAATTCATTTTTATAAGACACATCTGGAAACAAAATAAATAACTGAGAAAACACTGAAAAAAAGATGCTCATAAAAATAAGCTTTTTAAAAAAAGGTAAGGCGTTCACACACCGTGGTGATCAGTGAGAAATAAATGGATTACAGAGAAAGCATTCCATGAAGTATACAGGCATGCTGAGGAAAGAAGGGGAGGAAGCTGTGTGTTACGACTGCAGTTATCTTCTAATAGCTTTGAAACACTGGAAAGAAATTTTAATTTTTGAAGGTTACATCTGATAGAGCCCAGTATGCAAACACTACCAAGGATGGGGCTTATTACTAAGTCTGCTTCCAATGGAGTTTCTTATTAAACTGCAAAGGAAAGATCAGATTCTTCAAACACCAAACATTAAATGGGACCATTCATGGCCATTAGTACTGTGGCTGGGGGGGCAGATCCTTCACAGGTGTAAACTGTCATAGCTCTATTGACTTCACTGCCGCTATGACAGTTTACACCAGCGAAGCATCTGCCCCTTAGGATATGTCTACACTACAGCCAGGAATGAGCCTCCCAATCCCAGCAGATTCACTTGGCTAGTGGGACTCGAGCTAGTACATTAAAAATAACGTCAGAGGTTGAAGCTTCGGCAGAGACTCGGGCTAGCCACCCAAGTTCAGACCCAGGGGGTCAGGTGGGCTGGAGACTTCAAGCTGCCACTCGAGCCACTACGTCCACATTGCTATTTTTCACACGCTAGCTTGAACTATGCTAGAGCGGGTCTGTCTACCAGGCTGAGGGGTCCCAGCTGCAGTGTAAACTTACCCTTAGTATTTGCAGGATTAGGCCTTTAATTTGCATTTGTACTTGCATGTCATCTTCTATAAAAAGGGCTCTCAAAACTCTTCACAAAACAAACAGGAAATCACATAACACCCCTTTGACACCGGGAACTATTTATGGACTATTTTGAAACATTATGCACATGCGTAATCTCATCTGTGTAGTTACCCATCTGCGTAAATCTTGGCAGGACTGGGGTCTTAAGTTCCACACTAATATCAAAACATCCCAAACCAACAAAGAAACATGCGACCAGTAAACAAGGCACTGTTACAGCAGACATACTAATAATCAAGCTCCTTTCACCCCTCAGCCCACTGACTCCCCAGATGCCTAAAATAATGGATGGACTTCGCAACATGCTTACCAGGTTAGCAAACTGTAAAATCACGGACACATATACACACACACGCACACCCATCCCCCTGCACTACAGCTGAAACCCTGCTGCAGCTCCCTCTCTGGGGATGTCAAAGAGCTGAAGCACAGCCTCTCTGCTCTACCCTACAAACTACGCATTTTATAAATATGGAATAAAGGGTCTCGTTTTTAAAGGGAACCAACCTTGCCTCCTTCAGTCATAAATGAAGACATGCAGATGGCCAATTGCTGATCACTTAGACATCTACATGCCCTCATTTATTCTCACAAATAACTGTATCCACCAACGCTGGATTTCAAAAGTAAGATTAAAGTGGACACTTTGGGAATTTCTGTTAAAATACAAATGCCAGCTAAACTGATTATAATCCGAAAATGCTTCAAAAACAGTCATACTTTCCACAGCAAGTAAATCAAATTTGCAAGCAAATAAGACATGCTTCTAAATTTAAAAACTTTCTTAATACACTTACATTTCCAGACTATATGAAAAGACTCCAGTTAATTTCAGTCGGAACTGGATAAGGGCCGACATGATAATTTACACACTGTTACAACATTTTTGCATCTCTATGTCTCAACAAATTTCAAAACCATCTGCAAGCCCTTTCATAATTTTAGATTTTCTCTCCAAGTGTATGCAGATGGGATTTCTGTATAAACAGATCTGTTATTAAACTATAACATTTTATGGAGGATTTTTTTTTAAATCAGCATAACAGATGGAAAAGACCTTGATCATTTTTATGATGCTTCTAGATTGGTTTGGCAAAGGTTCTAAAAGTTTAATGACCATGGCAAGTCTTCATTCGCTATAGACTGTCAAAAAAAAAAAAAAATCTTTGAAATTTCTCCCGCCACTGCATCAGCATCCTGAGGTTTCATCATTGTAAATATACATTTACGTTGCATCTTAATTTTGGTTTACCAAGCTGGAAGAAAGGGGACTGAGGCTCTGAGATGTGCTATAGTCAAAGAACTTGCTGCTGGGAAGGTTGGGAGGTGCACGGCTGCTATGAACAACACTTTAAAAGACACTACTGCCCCAGGCAAATAACGAGTTGGATTTTTTGAAGAAAATCCCAGACACCAGAGAGTCTCAGCATATTTACATGTTGAGCATGGATATCCCTTTGTAAGGCACTGAGTCACTATCGGTGGGGGGTTTGTAGGAGGTGGCAACACAAAGTTCTATCTAGCCTTCTATGCCAGGCTCATCCCCATGGGATTTGAGACCTTACGTGTTTAAAAACTTTTTTTTTAAAGGATATACATTATATTTATTTATACACACAAGTCTCATATTATGACCCTCTCCCCCTCTTGCGATCCCTCACCTATGGCCCCTTTTCTTCCTCGGGATCCTTCCTTCCCCCTCATGATCCTGCAGTCCTGACCTCTTATTTCCCCTCAGACCCCCTCATTGCAACTCCTCTTTTCTCTCCCTTCTCCAGTGGGTAATGGAAAGCTACAATGGTTGCCAAGAAGCTGTGACAGGATTGCATACAGTCATTGCACAGGGGGGCTCGTCAGACTTTCTACACAACTTGGAAAAGGGTGTTTCCCAACTCTTCCCAATCTGCTGCTTCTCCTGTGAAATTGAGCATGACTAAGTGCAATACTTTCCCGTTCAGTATCCACGTAGCTGCAGGACTAAATCCCTCCAGAGACCCAATGACTTACTGACGAGAAGCACATAGTGTTCTGCTGTAAGAAATGCAATGGTCAGATTCTGGTGTCAGTTACAGCAGCGTGGGTTTGGAGTCACTCCATCAACTCCAATGGGCTTACACCAATGTAAAGCAGAAACAGAGTATTTTTTCCTCTGAAATTTGCAGTATGTGGGAGATCACCTTGAGTCCCTAGCATCTCACTTGTTTCATAGAGTGTCTGTCAAGCCTGGAGAACTGCGACTTGAAAATTTGGAAGAGAGCGCTAACTACACAGGATGGATCTGGTTTAAAGTACTGTATGCAATAACTTTGGGTACCAATAGTAATTAATGGCTTGTGGCTCACCCATCTGCCTGGCTGATTCCATGACTAGGGATTTGTAATTTTTTTCCAAGAAGAGGATTATGTGCACACAAAATTTTAGTCTTTCAAACAAACAGATGTTCCGTGAAGGCTTAAATGAGGCAGGTTTATCTGCAGTGGGATCCAGTGCTGGGTCTCTGGTTTTTATAAAATACTGGCAATTATTGTTTTTACTTTTGCTCTTTGGCAAAGCCTTCTGTTTTTTCCAGAGATTGATTCTGAAGACCAGAGAAGGAATATATTCTGTCCTGAGTATCTACCGCCAAGTGAGGCTTCAATATTAGTGAGTCTCACCTCCAAGAGGGGCATATAAGCTTGAGAAGGGCTCTTTCCTACTGCCAGAGAATTAAATTCTAGCTGGTTTCATTCCAGTCAAAGAGGCCAGCAGCAAAGCTGCTGCATGAGCAGAATATTCTTTAAAAGAGTGAGACATCTCTCCACCCAGACAGCGAGCAACTGAATTCAGGTTAATGAACATTCAGGAACCAGTATGAAAGACTTAAGGGTCACACAGTATCAGGCAGAAATATATGAGCTGAATTGTCACCTCTTGGTTACCACAAAGAATTCACTGACCCATGCTCTGGGCGTAGCGGAAGTGATGAGGAAAGTGTAACACACAGGAAGTGGCTTTGCACTTACCAGAACTTGCTGCATTTCACAGAAAACCAGAAGGGAAGCCAGCTCTATATCTTCACTGTAACCATTTTTGAGAGGTACCGACCTAAAACCTGGGGAGAGGGTACACAGAGGTAATTAAAGTAAAGGAGAAAGGGTTGCTTGCAGTTGGGGGCAAGCATGCATGGGACTGGGTAGTTCCTTCCACTCTGCTCACCTGCTCCATTCCTTGGAGCAGGCAGAGCTTTGAAGTTTACAAGGAAGCAGCAGGCAGAGATGGGGTGACAAAGTTTTCCCACAGCCCTGCAAATCAAACCAGGCCTGGAGAAATCAGAAGTTAACTCAAGGGATGCCCACATTTGGATCAGCTAAAAAAGCAAAGGTAGAACTCAAGATAGCAGAAGAACCTTAAGCAGTGATCTCTCCAGAACTCATTCTGGGCACACAATCACATTAATGAAATGGAGACTGTGGCAAAATGAATTAAATCACAGTAATCATTCCATAATCAAATCATTAGAAGGTAGGCACAAACACTGCACCGCTGATACTGTTACCTCTCCAAAATAAATCTATAACTGGGTGTTGGGCAGGGTGGAGAACATCGATCCTTTTTTGGCATTTGCTCTCTCCTAATCCAGAGGGTCAGATTTAAATCCATCAGTCTCAAACTAGTGGGACCAAGAATGCAGGAGCTGCCTTTACTTCCCACTGTGAAACTGATCATACTGCAGTAATAGGTAGTTCCATACTCACTTTCTCGTTGCTGATAAAACTGGTTCTATGTAACTCTTTCCTCTTGCAGAAAGAATGAAAAACAATTTGGTGGTGGGTGATTCATTTAAAAGATTATTTCCAACATGCCTGACATCCTAGTTCAGAGGGAGGGGGTGGTATTTTCAGTTTAAAGTAGCTATCTCCCAAGGTGTGTTGCAGCAGGATGGGCCCTTTACTACCTAAGTTTTGAGAGCAAATGCGCAGTACTAGCAGTTCTAAAGACCATGTTTCTTGCTTAACACTTTATAATACCCTATTGATCTTTACCTGATTTGATTCCTTTGATGGGGAAAGTGGCATGTGCTAAGAAGTTGGGGTCACTGAACATATCCTCCTCATAAACAACGAAGCGCAGAAACGCTAGGTTAGGATCATAAATTTCAAACTTCACTTGCTCTGGACAGGGTGCCCAAACTGGGTTAAGGCCATTGTCATCTGGAACGAAAAGAAAACTTTTGTGATACGATGCAATCACTTCCCTTCATGCTGTATATCCAAGGGCACATGCTGGGATTATACATGAAGTCTGAAATTCTTTATCCCACCTGTTTTTGTATGCCCACTCAAGAAGTTCTGGGGGGGGGCGAAAAAATCTATTAAAAAAAATCTAAATTTAAATACATTTCTTCATATTTAATATATTTATATAAACAAACCTCCCTGGACATCTATTTTTAAAAGGTGAATTGCTTGCCACGCATTAATGAAAAACAAGACCCAGGTCTGAGCTTAAAAACAGACACTAGCATGAAACATACCAAGTAGACAGATATGCAACTATCCAGTTTGCATACTCATTGGTGGAGTTTTGGGGGTCATCTGCATGTGTGCTGGAGGCTGAAAATCTGGCTCTCAAGGTTGATCACCAATACAAAATATAAAGGTCAAAATATCTTCTCTGGGGAACACTGTGGTTCCCCTACTCTCTCTACTGAACATTCTGCACTCATTCCACTCCCAGAATTTTGCACGGCCTCCTCTGTCACAGAGAAACATCTAGAAATGCCAAAATCAGGCAATAAAATAGACAGCCAATCAGATGGCTTAAAGTAAGAAAAACCGTGGAGTAGGACCCTCACATTTAAAATTCTTACCCCGGTTTGGCTTTTAGTGTAACTTTGGCCCACACAGATACATTTAGTAAATGAACCTCATTTGCACACACAGCTCCATGAGATCAATGGGGGTATTTCCTTGACTTTGTTGGGCTCTGGATCAAGAGGACAGTACTTTGCATGCTCCATTGCTGTATTACCACCCTTCTTGTCCAAGATATCTCCAAAGAAATTATCTAATCTTTGAACTCAAACCTAAATATAATAGCCTCAGGACCTTAGAATCTTTCTGCTTCGAGTGCACCTTCAGAAATTGACTAGCATCTTCAGAGAGACAAGGTTGGTGAGGTAATATCTTTTATTGGACCAACTTCTGTTGGTGAAAGAGACAAGCTTTCAAGCTACACAGAGCTCTCAATATTGCATATAGCATCTTCAGAAACACTTTCAACTTACCAAGCAATTTAAAAATATGGAAATTACACACAGCCAGAAACTTAACAGAAATGCACCTTATTATGAACCTAACACAGTTTAACACTTGCATGTTTCTCTGCCTGATTTTGACACATAGTGAAGGTTCTAAGGCAAGCACTAGAGTATCATTACATGAATCATCAGTTAAGAGCAATAAAGTCACCTTATCCTTCTAGTATATGATGTTTGTAAATTATAGATAAGGAAAATATTATTTCATGGAAGTCACGGATTCCGTGACTTTCAGAGACCTCCATGACATTTTCCGCTTCAGCCCAGGGGTTGTCAAGCCCTCCCCCGGCCCATTATTTTTAAAAGTAAAAGTCGGACAAGTCACAAGCTTCTGTGAATTTTTGTTACTACCCGCAGCCTGTCTGTGACTTTTACTAAAAATAACCGTGACCAAATTTTAACCTCAATTATAGATAGCATGCATGATGAATGTCCTCTACCAATTTTATTTAGTGCACTGCAAGTATAACTCCACTCCCACCCAGAAGGTTGTGCAGATACTCACTCACAACAGTTGTCTTGACCTTGCTATTATCACATTCGGCCCCACAAATTTCCACTTCTACAAATGGACAGGCAATGCTTCTGCCAGGTTTAGGCAGATGGCGAGCACCTAAAACCTATAAAAGGACAATAGGTTATACCAATATTTGAAAAAAAAACTTGGCACTGCAATTTATGTACTGCTAGTGGTCTACAAAACTATTAAACAGTGCCACTGAAAAAGACAACTATTTTTCTTATCAAATAGTCCTCAAGAGAGCACGCATATATGCACTTTCTCTCCAGTATAGATAGCTAGGTAGATGTGTGTGTAGAAATATATATATTTACAAACACGCACACGTATCACTGGCACAGGTAACAACACTTATAGTTAAGGTTGCCCTACACTTTCCAATGTAAAATCCTGTTTTCAGTTGCTTATAACTTTGCATAACTCCAAGCTTAAAGCATTCAAGCTAAAATTTTCCATGCTGAGTATCTGCCTCAGGTTGATGGGGAGGAGTGGCTTGTTTGTTTATTTTTAATTTTCAGCTAAAATGATTCAGCCATTTCCGAAATGAGACTAGGGAAAAATAGGATGTTTTGTCTGTGTGAAAAAAAAGCAACAAACCTCTTCTAACCATTTCATTAAGAAGCTCTAGCAACTCCACACTCTGGAGCAGGGACTTGGCAAGGGGTTTTCCTGCTGTCAGGGAGGTGTCCATTGACATCCTTGTGAAAATACGTGCCAATATGGCCAAGTTATAAGCCTCCAAAAAAAAATAACACGCTCAGAACCGACTTGAATTTAGCAGCTAAATTCTCCAGTAATTCTGTCTGTACTGGGCATGCTCCATCCCCTCACAGCTCTTATGTGCCAACTAGACTGTGCATGTGCCTTCCCTACAGAGCGAGTGAAGAGTTGCGGGGAGGCTGAGCAGGACTTTGCTTGCAATTGCTCTTCCCAGCTGCTAAGGGGCCACTGTGGCACCAGACACAGAAACAGAGCAGGGAGGCTATACCTCCTGTGCTCTCAATACTCCTCTGCAGGCATCATGGTGTAGAAGGTGGAAGGTGCCTGACTCAAATGCAGAGGAGTGAAAAATGGATAAGAGGAAAGGGAGTGCAGAGGGTGGACGATGTTCTGGGAATGAATCAGGGTTCTGTAGCAAAGGAGGTGGTTGTCAGTAGCTCTTCTGCCTCATTTATTACTGTCATTGGAAGAAATGAGGCGGGGGATTGCAGGAAGAAAAAGGATGGTCTCATGGTTAAGGAAATTGAGTGCCACCCTAGGTAATTGGATTCTACACTTGTCTGTGCCATTGAGTGCCTATGCGAGACTAAGCAAGTGGCCAACTGTTGGCCACTAATCGGGTGTTCATTTTCTGCATGCTAAACACGAGACCCTTGGGGTTTGATTGGCAACCTTGCTGAGTGCTCATGACTGCAACTGAATTTGACTGGAGCTGTGCTCTGGGAATATGAAGTGCTATAAAAATTCTAAATATTCTGAAAAATCAGGCCCCAGGTGTCCCAAGATTGACACCCAATTCAGTGGACCCTTTTGACAATTCTGGCCTTAATCTCTCTGTGCTTCAGTTCCCCTACCTAATTTCACAGGGGAGTTGAGAAGATTCATTCATTCATTCGTGTTTGTGGAGCACTCAGATACTATGGTGAGAGCACCTCAGAAACACCCATAAAGACATTAATTCTGTATTCAGAATAGGGTTTGCATGGTATGTGGTAATAAGACCTGGGGCCACATACTGAATGAGGAGGGAAAAATGAATACTGAATAACTACCCATTCACCGAATGAGGTGAGAGTCTATGGAAAAAATAGTATGTGACTATATAATTAAAGACTGTACCACAATGTATACACAAGGGGCCTGAATCAGAGTTGCACAGGCAAACATAATTCTGGCATTTACTGATTTGTGTGTGCTTGTCTTTGAAATCTGAACATCTTTCAAGGTAGATTTTTTTTTATGCAATATATAGATACACACACAACCCCTCTCTCTTTCTTTTCTTTCTTTCTCTCTTGCTCATATGCATTCAAGAGTCTGAATCAAATTTTCAGCCCAATTTTAAGTGGAACTCCATTTTTGCAAGCACAAATAATTGCAGATGTAATCTGGCAAGAGCAATTATTTGTCACCATAGTTCTGGTTACTTACACACGCTGGTAAATGCACTTGTAAATCAATGACAAACATCTAAGTGACCTAAATCATGAGGATAAATAATTATGGGCGCAAAAATGTGTCTGCAAAAATGGAGGACAGTGTCTGAAAATCCAGCTCTGTACACCACACTTTCACAGAACATACAGAAGATGCCTCACTTCAACTGCCACAGTTCCACTCTCAAGATGACGAGATAATAGTGAGGTTCTGTACTCTTTTAGCACTTACATTTTTTAAAAAGCATTTGTTCTTTTGCTTTACTTGTATAGCCCGTGTCAGCATCCAAACTGCAGTGAGAAGTGGTTACAGTGTTTGTTCGTTCCTTACCATCATTTCTCATAAAACATATGCTATTTTGGAAGACATCTCTCTTACTGAATAGCAGCTGAGAACACAAACAAGTTCAATTTACAGATGGTGCCAGAACCCACTGTAGTGTAATTTTCAAACAATAAACTTTTTTTCTTAATGAAAAATGAGATTCTGAAACGATGAAGTGTACAAAAATAGCTGCATTTTCCCCTATCATGTTAAAGCTAACTTTTTTTCTGGCTTAGTTTCTTTTTTTCATTATAAAAATCTATTTCTGTCAAATTGGAAACCTGCTGAACTAATAAATCTGTTGCTAACCAGTCTCTAATCGGATCTTTCTAATGAGAACTAAGGTGGAGTTCAATGTAAGTTGATTTGATTTGATTTTTAATAGTTATCATATACATTCAATTTTTTCTGTTCTATATTCACTGAGAGACAGAGAGAAACTTATTTCATTTCAGGGAAAGTGGCAGAATTAGTTTTATTCCTAAAACACTGACATTTAAATAAAGCATGTTTTGGCAGTTTGTCACAGCTCTTGCTCTGAAAAAAAATAGCTTTATTTGTAGTCAGTCATATAGACCTTTACTACTTGTAAGAATATATTTACAAAAGAAAAGATTTACCCTCACTGTCAAAAGCATCTGCAATTTCCTCTTTGATTCACTTGGCATTGGGTCATAGTCCTCATTTCGCATGCTTTCTGGCTGCAGAATATATCCAGTCCGTCCATTAAGTGAAAACAAGGCATGGTTTATTTGCATGTATTTATCTAGGGAGAGAATGAAATAGTCATGACAGTAGAGTTCCCCATTTTATTAAATCCAAAAGGATGACAAAGTATCAGTTTGATGGCTCTTTAGTGCCATTCCCACTGGTTGCCACTTTCACAAAACTAGGTGATGACTAATGTTTCACTTCAGTAATTAGAACTATTGTCCTTGGTCCACTGATAAGAAATCTGAAAGAGAGGCTTGCATTCACACAACACATTTTGCCTTGCCAATGAACTGGTCAAAATATCAATTCAGTAACAAATACAAGCTGATAGCTAGAGCTGTGTAGAGGGAAGAAGCTACTTTCAGAAAACATCTTGAGGTTTTGAAAGGAACAAAAATGGACCATTTCAAAATTCCCCATGAAAGAAAATTCTGGAATTTTTTTCCAGGTCGATCAAAACATTTCATTTTGACAAAATTGAAATGTTTTGTTTAGATTCTGACCTTTTAAAAATAGTTTTATGATCATACAAAATTAAGAAACAAAATGAAAGTGATCTCAAAATGAAAAATCTATACAATTCATATCCAAAAATGTTGAAACAGGAAATGAAATTTTTGTGCACCTGACACAATTTCATGGAGTATGTCAATTTTAATGGCACTGTGTATTCTGACACCAAAGTTTCTCCAACCAGCTCTTCTAGTATCTCTTGATCACTAAATGGAATTACTCAGTTAACACAACCCAGTACATTGTGAGGTGAGAGGGCCTGGTCCTCAGCTGCTGTTAATCAGTGTCACTATCAAAATCAGTGGAGCTATGCTGATTTATGCCAGCTGATGTTGTGGCCGTACATGCCGGTCCAACACCCGTTAAAGTTAAGAGAAAGACTCAACTATTTCAAAGGAGTTGGATCACGTCCCACAAGTGAACTCTGCAGGATATGAATTTTCTGGGATCTGCCCTAGTAGCCGATCCACAGAGTCACAAGCAAACAACTCATATAGTTTCAATCCTCTCAAGCACTCACATTCCTTCTTCCATCTATTTTCCTTCTTTAGTAAGATACCAACCACAATGACCAGGGTGGTGGAGAGACTAAAGGGGGAACTTGTCAATGGTCAGTTGAAAGAATGAAAAACAATTAAAGCTCCTCTTTATGAGAATATTACCTGGGGTCTGGAAATTAAGAGACACCATCTGGGCGCCACAAAACCAGAGACGAAATGGGTCATAATTAGATGAGTCAACCCTCTGTCCTTTAGGGTAAACCCGCGTCAGTCCCTTTTGGTTGTATTTCAGCAGTTCACCAGGCTTCTGCCTGACAACACTTTCAGCCTTGTTTTCCACAAAAGAACGGACTTCTCTGAAATCAGGATTTTCTACACAAGGGGAGGGGCAGGAGGAGGGCAAAAAAAAGGAGAAAGAAACCACCATTTATTCTCCGTTTCCACTGGAGCCTTGCTTTACCTCATCCTTTAACACAATAATTGACTTCTTGTTAATGCACACACCGCAAATTGGCTGAACATCAAGTCTGAAAATTAAAATAACCTGTCTGCCTGACAAGTCCTCTAATTGCTCATTGTGGTGGGACTGGATGAAGGCTACAGTTCTCATCCCGTCACTGCTAATAATGCTCCTTTGAGCACTGCAGCACATATTTAAATAAGACATCCTTTCCTGTGTGTAAGTGGAGGAATGGAGGGCAATCCATGGTTAACAACGCCTCAAATAATGACTGCAATTATAATGTCTATCTACACTGATGGCTTACTGCAAGCATTCACAAAGAATCTTAAGCAGGAAGGGGATATTTGTTGGGTACTCCATGGATCTGGTTGCAATAGCAAAAAGCCAGCAAGTAATCAATTTCAGTGTCAATCCAGGAATTTTTACTGATATTGCACCACATTCTCATTTACATTAAGACATCTTCATGTCACTCCAGTAGCTTCAAGGGGGTCTTATTTGTAAGTGACAATCAGACTGTACAGCAGAATATTACATAATGTAGAGCAAGTCTATTTTAGGGTTGAGTTTTTTTCATAAATCACAAAAGAATTCATCCAGAGCCTTTTCTCATCTCTTAAAACAAAAGGAGCCAAGTGCACATTGATCTGGTGAGCTTCATAGTGTTATATTGGAAGAATGGCTTGGATAGACCAGATGGAAATTTGTCACCGCTCCAAAGCATATCTTCGCCTACATCTTCCATCATAAAGGACAATGTCACTTCCTCAACCCATCAACAGACAGCATAGCTTCCCACCCTTTGTCACTATCATTTTATTAACTTCAGAAATGCAGCACTATGGAAAAGAAAAACCTGAATGAATCATTTCCAAGTTGTTCTTGTCTCCTCAGAGCTTTTCCTCTTTCTTTATGGTCTCCTCTCTCTCTCGTTTCAGTAATTTGTTCCTCATTTAGTCCCAGACTTGAGCCTCGACAGGTTGAGATGTACGCTCAAAACAATTCTGATAACTCACTAGATTTTACCTGACATTTTATCATTTGAATACTGTAATGCTCTCTCCAGTGTGCAATTCCAATTTGCCACTGAAAATCCTGCCTGTATGAGCTCTCTGAGCTCTCCCAGTGCATAAAGGAGGTATTTTATTTTCAATTCTAAAATTTCAAATAATGTTTCTTTGAACAGGATCAGCATGCAAGCAGGCAAGGCGAAATTTATTATTAAAAATAAATCACCTAAATTGTCCTTGGATTTGCTTGTAGGTTTGCAGTAGATTACCAAGTCGGATAATTCAATGGCAATTAATTGATTCTTTTCCCAGTACTTCCTCATATGCTCCTGTTTAAGATTAAAAAAATATTTTTAGATTGCACTTATGTAGAACATGATGGCACAATAAACTAGGACATATTCTAAAGAAAGGATGATTATGTTAAAACATTCCCGGCTCCCTGATTTCATAGTTAACACTTCACAAACGTACTTGGATGTGACATATATTTAGGGCTTCTGTTTTTCAGGGTTTATTAATATAATTTTGGGGGTTCATTTTTAGCAATTTTTGAGTTTTATGTAGGTTTCCAATAACTGGAGGTTTTCGGGTCTCTCGCTTTTATACTGTAATGAGTAATGGATATTATGTTATATCCATTACTCATTACAGTAGTATATATTGTAACAAGTAATCTCTTTGTAATGTTCCCTAAGGCGCTTTAATGTAGTGCTGTTTCAAACAGCACTATATAAAAGCACACTAGGGAGCCTTTAGTGCACACCAGCAGGGTCTACATGGACCAATTAATGCACAACACGCTATTGTGCTTTAGGAATCACACCCCTGTAGTCCACATTACTGCTCTGTGTAGACAGACCCTTAGAGGCAAATAACCATTTACAGTGTTTATCCAGTGTTTACTAGATAAAAACACCTATTTCAATAGGATTTTGGTTCCTAAGTATCCAAATTACTTTTCAAAATGAGACAGACATTGCAAAGTTGAGTGCAGCAACCGCCTCAATACCTTTAAAAATCTGGGCCTAAGCACTTTCCTGAATCGGAATCGTATAAAGAAACCTGGCAGTTAAATTACTGTTTTTATGTACATCCACATAAATCTAGCTAAACTCTTGACTCAACACCTCATATAAATGCACAGACAAAAAAAATGCAAAGCATAATGAAGTTTCTCTCCACTTATTTATGATCTCGATCAGGATTAAGTATCTCTTGTGACTCCAAGACTGAATTCCAGCTGCCTCCAAATGCAAAGCGCACTGCTCCAGCAGTTCACTTTTTGCAAAGCAAGTCAGCGTTTCCAGGTATGAAAAAATAATTTACGATCAAACAGGCATCATTATTGAAAAGTCCATAATCTACTGCAACACTAGATGGTTTAAATCTTGGTCTTGTGGGATCTGAATGAGGATACCTGCAACCCATTCAAATGGGAGTTGGGAAGCCAGGCTACTCCTCACTTTGGCAGGCAGCAGCTATTCATGGCCATTGCTGGTGGAGATTAGAAGCCACTGAAGTCAATGAGAGCCCTGCATCAAGTGAAGGTAGAATTTAGCAAGAGGTGGTCAAAATTACAAAAAAGATACAAGAAGTGATTGCAGGATAGGAAGTATAAATGGAGTCACATACTGAACAGTTACTAGCTTCAGTACAAAAGGCTACAAAGCAGTAGGAAATAGGAAATCTCCAAAAGAAATTCTCACAACAGCAGGAGGAGGGAGGAAAACAGGAGCTGCAGAGAGACGTTTTTCCAGAAGCAGTCACCAGACCAGAGACTGTGTGCTGTGGTCTAAGAAAAGCAAAGAGGAATTTAGTATTATCAACTGACATAGCCTTGGAGAAGTGCAGATATAAGCTATTATCTCTTTGTAATACACAGCGACCCACCGCAGTGTAACATCCTAATAGACATACAACTTTCACTTGAAAGCAATGTTTTCACAAGCAACGGAGCGTTTCCAGGTGCTGTAAACTCATTCTTAAAAGTACGCTTCTAAGGATAAGCTAACCAGGAATGAATACCAACAAAAATAGACCATTCCTAGGACACAGTTAGTGCCGATATAAAACAGGGATGACAAAGTCGATAAAGCCCTGAGTTGAGAAGCTGAAGTGGGGGGAAATCTTCAGAAATCTGGAAAACACCCAGGTGAAGATAAAGATAAAGAATTCCAAACTGCAGATTATTACTAGTATATAATAAAGTTATTGGCACAAGTAGGAAAGTGTTTTACAAATGCATTCACTGGACAGCAGAGGTAGGAAGCAAGATTATGAAGAGACGTTTAGGCAAAGGAGCTCAGATAGCACATACATTAGTGGATTTACTATAATACTTTTCAAGCTTGGTTCTCCACTGCCTTGCACGAGGCATGCCATAACTTACACCTGTGCAAAGTGGATGTAAAACACTACCATTATCATTTTTTAGTATTTCCTATCTACTTTGCATAGATGCAGGCAACAACACAAAGCATAAAGCACAGGAGACTCAAGTTTTCCCCCCATGTTAAGTTCTCCTCACACCTTGTATGGGTCATCTCGATTATCACTTCAAAGTTTTTTCTTCTGCTGCTACTGATAGCTCATCTCAATTGACTGGCCTCTTACAATTGGTATGCGTACTTCCACCTTTTCATGTTCTCTGTATGTATAAATATCTTCTGTCTGTGTGTTTCACTCTATGCATCTGAAGAAGTGAGCTGTAGCCCACGAAAGCTTATGCTGAAATAAATTTGTTAGTCTCTAAGGTGCCACAAGTACTCCTGTTCTTTTTGCGGATACAGACTAACACGGCTGCTACTTTGCAACTTGAAGGAGAACTCTGCTGAAAGTGTTAAAATTCTCTTTGATGGCTGATGTTCTGCTAACTCTCCTAAAGGGCCTGAAAATTTAGAAAGCAAGACCCAGATTAGCAAGGTGTTTTACTTTAAGCCTGTAAATAGTCCCACAGAAACCAAGTCCTGTAAAATAAATATGCAAGAGGCTTCAGGGGTTCAGGCTTTAGTGAGGCTTGGGGAGCTTAGGTGGTTCTCAAAGGCTGAAGTCTCATTATTTCCTAATTTTATAACTATCCACTGCAAAATAAAACAAAAATTTTCTTTTCTACTGGTACCTCTTCTGTAGATTTCAATGTGATTTTCCTGATGTCTTGGTACCATTCAAACAGCTCTTCCACTGTATCAATTGCAAATTCAACAGGAGGATCTTCTGGATTCTTGGGTTCCAGTACGAAGACAAAAGCCTTGTCATGCTTCCCTTGTGGCATTTTTACTATTGGACAGCACAGTAACGACAGAGACATACAAAAATTTATTAACTCTTTTAGTCTTAACTGCACGCTGTATGAGTGGTTGGTTCAATGCAGCAGCCAACCATACAGATTTCCACTATGATAAAATCTCTTGTCAGGCTGAATAGATAGCATCATCTTTCCTGCTCTAGGGGAAACAGCCCAAATAAAGGAGGAAAACCTAGGAATCCCGCTACAAGTTCCAGAGGGTACGTACCGACATTGTATGTACTGAGGACCAATATGCCACGACACAGAGTTCCTAAGGGGTTGTCCTCAATAATCTGTGAAGAAACAATGGGTTTAATTTGATTCTCTTAATCTTTTCCCTTTTAATCAGTAGTCACAGGATGCATAACAAAAATTAAACACAAAGTTAACCGCCTATAACTGCCCACAATGTCACGGAGAAACTGCCAAGGGCTCTGTTTAAAAAGTTCATTTTTAGTGAGAGGATCTCTCATTATGGATGAAAGATGACTAGTGAGGCTGGGAATAACCCTGGTTCATCTGAGAGTCTTCACTTCGACTGGTTCACGGTTTTCCAACTGGTAAACATTTGCCACTTGAATTCAGAAATCAAATGCAGTGTTTTGACTATTACATTACAAAGCTACTGTCCTGGCATAATTGCTCATTTTTAAAGCTTTCCTTTACAATACCAGAAAGACCAAAGTGTTCATATAGATTTCCCCACACACCCCCAAGGCATCACTGATCTGAGGGTTCATCAAACATTTTATTTTAAAAAACCAAAAGGATTCATGCAATTTAATAACTGCCTACTCAGACTTTTGCTTTCATTTGTTAGATTAAATTGCTCTTTGTCCAAGACTCTGGAACGCATTTTCACATGCTTTTGGCATGCACAATTGGCTCAGTTATGTACTAGGTAACAGGGTGTGAAAACAGCTAATTAGATGCATTTGTACACCCCGTTTTCCCATTTGAAAAAACCACTGCAGTAACTATGTTGGCAAATTAAGTGCTTATATGGGGCACATAATTGTTCCACACATCTATCTGAAAATCTGACCATGTACAGTAACTCCCTACTTAATGTTGTCCTGGTTAACGTTGTTTCGCTGTTACATCGCCAATGTATTAGAGAACATACTTATTTAAAGCTGCGCAATGTTTACTTATAACGTTGTTTGGCCGTGGGGGCTTGGAACCAGGGTGGGCTGGCAGCCCCCCTATCAGCTTCCCTCCACACCCACCCTCAGCGCCTCCCGCCCGCCAGCGGCCCAGAGGATCAGCAACTCTCCCCTCCCCGCACTTCCCACCTGCAGCAATCAGCTGTTTTGCGGTGTTCAGGAAGCTCGGGGGGGGGGGGAGAGGAGCAAGGACATGGCACGCTCGGGGGAGGGGATGGAGCAGGGGTGGGAAGAGGTGGGGCGGGGGTGGGCCTGCGGCAGAGCCGGGGGTTGAGCCCCGCCCAGCACATTGGAAAGAATAGCAAGAGGAGCAGCTGGATGATCCACCCTCTTTCACACTCTGACTCCACCACCACAACCAAGCTTCACAATCATCATTGCTGAGTACAGTATTAAATTGTTTAAAATTGTTTAAAACTTATACTGTATATAATGTCTTTTGTCTGGTGAAAAAAAATTCCCTGGAACTTAATCCCCCCCCCCCATTTATATTAATTCTTATGGGGAAATTGGATTCGCTTAACATTGTTTTGCTTAAAGTCGCATTTTTCAAGAACATAAGTACAATGTTAAGCGAGGAGTTACTGTATGCTAATCTTTAGCCTGCAGGGAATTGCTATGGCCTCCTTATAACGCACCCCATCAACGACTCTCCCCAAATGCGGTTCCATAATGAATAACCTGCCAAGCACAACTAGTGGCATCAAGGACAGAAGAGAATTGTGTCTGCACAGCCCCAAGGACAGTAAACACTATGTGTACTTTTCTACTCTGTGCTAAGGCTGCATCATGCACAACATATAGTTATAATCCCATGAATGAGAGAAACCAGCTCAGTGTGCAGAGGGCAGCATCGTGCTAATGGAAGACATGAACCAAACCCTGAACTCCTCACCTGGCTTTCAAGGTCTGCAAAGTTATCAGTTGACATGTCTTCAACGTAATTAGATGGAAAATAGTGTTGGACTTTTTCTCCATAGTCTCCTTTCCACCTGAAATTAAAAAAAGAGACAACTGAAGACCTTCAAACACAGACCATTAATTAAGCAATAATCCTCAATAAATTGGTCATTAATCCCCAAAACCAGCTTGCTAGTTGGCCATTGCCAAAATAAAAGTGACGAAGTAGCTAAAAGCTCTAACAAAGAGATTAATAACTGTGGTAGGTGATTTCAAAGGGATTGCAGCTATTGCAAACTGCAGTTAATGACTTAAGAAGCTTCCCCTCCAGCACTAAACATGATGATGATTATGTGGTTGATTGCTTTGTGGAAACAACTAGAGGACATTAGATTCCTAAGCATTCCGATCAATGTATAAGCCAGGTAGGAAAGAAAACTTATGGGAGGATACTCAGAGGATGGAGATAACCTAAACCCATTTTGGTTTTCCAGGGGTGTTGTGCAAAGCCTGGAGAGGGATGCTGCACTGACACAGGGTTAGCCTTTGGAGGGTCTCCTGCAAGAAGGGGTTTTTTGGGAGGGATGTGAATGGGGAAAGGGAGCAGGCCTGACACTCTGAGATAGGGAGCATAGGTTGTTGGTATGGGGAAGGTACAGATATGACAGTGGGAGAAGGCAATGAAGGGAGCGCTGAGGCTACAATAAAGGGTGATCATCAAAAGAATGTGGGTAGCAGAAAAAAAAAATCAAGTCATGCCATATTTGGAATCACTACTGCCAGCTGTTCCAGAGAGCAGCACTGGTTTCCTTCATAGCAAGTTTTGCTATTCCCAGTGAAAGATTTTTCCCCTGCCCATTTCTCTACAAGGATACCCCTTTCCTTTGAGGGCTAGCAATGTCACTATCTAGGAGAGACAGATGGGACTCCTTTCAGATCCCATCAACCTCATTATTGGCTTGTCCACAATGCAGTTACCAAGCGATGCAAGTCACTCCCTCCTGATAAAGACAGTGACCCCTGCCATCCCAGACAGCAAAGGACTGGACCTAGGACTCAAACCTGGATGTCACACAGCAGTACAGAGTGCTATCCACAGGGTCACTCCTCTCAAAAGCTCTTTGATGGTTACCAAACACTTTACAGTACTTCTTGTCAAAAAGCCAGGCAGGAACAATGTGTGTCAAGGTGTGAAGCTGAGAAAAGTAAAAGGGGATTTTCTTTCTTCATCGACTTCTGGGATGTATAAAGAACAGCGGCTGGGTCAGAAGCAGAGATTTTAAGAACCCCCCGCACAAAGCGGAATTAATTTCCCCATCACATACACTCCATGCCGGCTCTTCTACAAGGAACTTACCAGCCTTCTGTTTCCTTTGTGACGTTATGAATTAGGGCCCCTCTGCAGAAGCTCAGTTCATCACTTCTTTTAGCTTTATAGTCATATATGGCTTTCACTGTTCTCTGAGGCTTTAAAAGGAAACAAAATAAAGGGGTCAGAGAGAGGGACAGGTCACAAAATGATTAATAAATCCATCTCAAAAGAAAAAAGAAATTAGATCTCTTTCTTTATTAGAATTGGTAAGCTTAACGCTAAGGTTCCAGAGTGACATCTGCTGGTGTAAGGGATTGTCACTGTTAACCAGTATTCTTCAAACACCAGCCAAGAGTACTACTTTTGTGGATGCATGGTTATACAACACAGAGAACCATGAGCTATCATCCCTGCTTACATACACCCAGATAAAATCTGAGGCTTAAGGCTTGGGATGCAGTCTCATCAGAGTTCGCAGCAGTCCTATCATCCCCTTCAAAACCTCATCAACAATACCACAGAATAAATTTCCTCTAGGAAACCCAAGTTTCTATCAGGACAAGCAATTTCCTTATCTTGAATTTACTTCTACCTGAATTCTTTCACAATAATTCACAATCATTAGTCACAAAGAGAAAGAACTACAGCTGAATGTGCATTTACAGCCAAGCTGGCTTTTGCGAGAATTACAACTAAATATGTATTTACCATGCCATTTGTTTTTAAATGTTAAACAAATGCATAATAAAAGTAATTTTAAAAGTTCAGTGCTTTATAAAAAGTGTGCAAGACTGTCCACCTTCATTTGCATGCAAAACCCTGATCTGCACGAGTAATCATTTTTACTTGGTGCATAAATGTAGGTTCAAATTTCCAGGCACATCCACACAAGCATGCATGCGAAATCAGGATCACCTAGGCACACTGAGAAGCCAGGTGCCTGATTTCTCATCTGGATGAGTAAATACTAGCTTTGCATATAGAAAATGCATAGGTGCAATTTTGGAGGATGGGCTGAAAAAATTATACCCCTCTTGAGTTTTACCTCACCCCACAAGCCAGATACAAATATTGAAAGTACCAGAAAAATCAACACAAATTTTCTGATATCTTTTCAGGCACCTACAGAAAGGTTAGTTTGAAAAATCACTTGAACATAAACGTACCACTGATGGGGTTATTTCGTTAGGCTCCACATACATCTTGACATCATAGAGCGAATTAATATCTTTCTCCTAAAAACGGAGAGGAAAAAACAGAGTTAAGGAAATATATTTTAAATCTACAACAGGACTGTTCTACCAAATAAGGGACCCTTATGTGCTGTACACACGTATCTACAGTATCACTTCAGCAATTCAGAAACTGTGGGGCTGACTAGAGCTGGGAGCCCTGACTTCTGTTAGAGGCCCATTTCTATCACTAGCTCACCATGTAGCCTTGGGAAAGTCATTTAACCTGCCTGTGCCTATCTTTGATCAAACAGTATTATGACCATATCACCTCACAGGAATATCACTTAATTCATTAAATGCTTGTGAAGAACTTTGAGATGCTGAGTGAGATTATTATGTGGAACTGAAAAAACTAGCAGGTGGTTCTATGGCTTTGGTTCCATAATCACTGCAGGTCTCCTAGCTTACAGAAATGGTTTTCTTTAATGGACAAAAAACTAAGCTGCAAGAAGCTGCTTTGATGTACATGGTTATTTTTTTTTTCTGGGTGGGTTTGGAATTTTATCTCCTTCACCTCCTACCATGGAGGAGGATGGTGTTTATCTTTCACTGAATCACTTCATTACAAAGGTAATCACTTGCCGTGCTGTAGCGCTCTAGCAGTTCCTCAGTCACAGGGTAACGCAGTTTCATTTTCCTATACAGCGTGTGCTTTTCATAGTAGGTCACCAGTTCGACTAAGCTTTCAAAATAGGCAGAGGTGCCCAGCACAAAGTGGTGGCCTTCTTGTCGAATTCTGAAGTGCTTCACTTTCCCCTCAGCTCTGTGGAATTAGTACAGGTGCTGTGATACTTTAAAAGTCACTGGGGCCTAACACAGTAAAACCTCACTTACCATGAACTGGATCATTATCCCCTGACATGTTTTAAATGTATAACAAAGTTCCACACTTTTCCAAAGCCTCATTTATCCCAATTAATTTCAGGTTCCCCCATTCAACTCACAAATAGAACAGATTCAGGAATTGTCTCACCCATCTCCAATATGTAGAGCATTGGAAATACCCTCATTTTTTTTCCTGTTTTCATTTCCCCATTAACCCTCACACTCCAGACTCCTCTCTTCACCAGTCATCTAGCCAAAAAGGATTTATCTGGACTAAGATTCTCTTTGGAAGCCTGTCACTGTCAATCACTATTAGGTGACGAGAAGCAGTCTCCCCAGAAACAGTGGCTACTTTATCCCTACAATGCTCCTGATAGCCACTGCAATCTACTTTTAAAGGAAAAATTCCTATCCACTTAAGCAAAAAATTTTGAATTTTTGGTAATCACTGTAAAAACCACCATCCAACCACTTTTCAATACATGAGGATACCTACAAACTTTTCAAACCTACAAACTTTTCTGGCTATGAAGTGTTTGCATAAGGACACTACTGTATATAATCCATAATGGACTTTAATACCCTATCTTCCCAATAGGAGAAAGATGAAACTAGAGCTCACTGCAGACTTGAGAAGTCTGGAAATCTTCAATGCAAAGTAAAGTACACAAATAAGACAGCATGTATCTGTTCTCCAAGACAATATTCTATACTGCATTAACAGACATGATTAAAGAAACTTAATATGATTCAAAATTGCAATAGAGTATATTACTGTTCTTATAAACACAGTTTCAATAAGAGAAACTGTTGTTATAAAGCAGTTACTATTGGCAAGGATACTTAACAGCAGACAGATGGCAACTTTCATTTTTAGTGAGCTGCATAATGTAACAGATGCTGAATGAATGAACCTCAAATTATTATGCAACTTAACTAGGTTTCCTCTGGTCAGAGACCTGGGGTCCGCAGTGCTGATCCGGCACAGAGAACTGCACTGGCATGCAGTTTCACAGAAGTCAAGAGAGGTCCACACGCACACTACAGTATGAGATATCCTGGGGCAAGTTTTTAGCCACACTCAAAATTATCCACTCCATACGTGCACATATATTTTGCCCATGCATCCACTTATGTGTGCACATCAAGAAACTGTGTGGCTAACTACCTAAGCTGCAAGAGCAAACTCAGGTTTTATTCATGCAAAGGCTACAATAGGAAGATTTTCATGTTCAAAACCAGAGAGCGTGAATGGCCCTATATGTTGTACAGTCACATGTGTCTTTTCTTACCTGAATGTCATGGCAAATGAATCAGGCTCATCTCTCTTTCTAATCAGAAACGCTCCATCTCGAGGAATTCGCATCAACATGTCTTCTGCTTCTCCTCGACTCAGGTTACGGTAGTACCAACTACAGTAGAGGGAAAGAAAATGGACAAGCGATTACAAAGCTTGTCAAATTGTCACTCAGTAAGAATAACTGGCGGTGTTACTAGAATTATAGCCTGAGACATTACAAGATAAATTATACATTAGATTTTCCTCATCGTGGCACATATGACAGCATCTTAAAGCAAAATACTGTAACACATCAGCTTATTTGGGGTAAAACCATCAGGAAAACATCAGAACACCTTGTCTGCTTATAGTAATAGAACATAAATCAACTTGTCTTCATAGAACAATGGCAGAAAATGCTGCTTTATCTGTTCATAACCAAATGCCAGACTGGAGTCAGAGTTTTGACGTGGAAGATTTTAAGGAAGAGTCCCGATATCGGCTAGGGAAAAACAGCAGACATTAGATACTTCCTTAGGACCAGATTCTGTCTCTCACAAGTACTACTCAAGATGAGTAACAATGGTAGAATCTGGCTCTGATTTCAGTGGAGCTAGAACAATTTACAGTAGTTGTGGCTCTCCACCCAGTGATGTAAAAACAAAAACAGCTGAATCCTACAAGGCACCCTCAACTCACACTAACTTCAAAAGGTATCTCAGGATGTATAGGACCGTACAGAATCAGACCCCAGAACATGAAAACTGTCTAAAGTCATGGACATATGTTTTGCACACAAAGCAAACTTTCTTTTTTGATCTGTAGAGCAAACAATGGACCAAAAGTGCACATGGTGCATGAACAGTAACTTCTGAATTCCCCAAATTAGTTGCCAGACCACAGGCAACAACTCAACACCTAACCCTACTTGCTGAGTTCTTTAAATTAGCAAGCAAAGAAAGGGAGCGGGGACAGGAAGGACTTGGTATCCTCTGGGTGAATTACAGCTTTCACTGTTTCTCTGAATTGCATATAGTTACCAGTGAGTACCTGCTTTACCATTAGCCCCCCATGAAGCCCAGAGTATAACCTGAATCTTTCAAGGTTCTTAGAAATCAATGAAGTTTGTTCCCATGACAGCTGCTACCAAAGTGTCCCTGAATGCATGAAATCCATGGCCATATACGACAACAAAAAGTTGCACCCTTTAACATAACAACTCGAGCACTTCCCTTCATCTGTACATACTCTTTAGTTTCATGAGGTTTGGGGTTAGGCACAGCATCAGTCAGACGCAGCTCAAACTCAGCACATCGCAAGTGGGCTTCCTTGTAGTGTTGAACGAGATCATAGATACTATCAAAGGTGAGGTTGTCGGTCAGGTAATATTTCATGGTATCTCCTTCACTATTAGAACGGATACGGCAATGCTGGACCCTACCTGACCTCCTTAAGAAATGAAGAGGGAGGAAAAATAACAGTTAATAAAGATGGACGTTTAGGATGTTTTCTAACCTGCTCCTGGTTAATTCTAGTTTGTGAATTTATAAAGTTGCAGCAAATCATGTTGTTTCTTTAACAAATAATAAGATTGTTGGGAGTTGTTCTTTTCAACCTACAGAGTTTTAAATGTACCAATATGCATCACTGTAGAATTAGCGCAGAAGGCTCTCTCACCAGTAGCTTTATCTGATATATTGTTACTTATAACTCCAGACTGGGAAAAATTAGGCAAAATCTTTTATTTTTCCCCTACAGGGACATCCTCTTTTATCAACAAGATCAAACTCTGCCAATGGAAATGAACTTGGGAAACTACCTGCTCAGCTTGGAAACTGATGATTTACACCAGTGCAAATGAGATCCAGTTTTGGCCCACATACTGAAGAAATATTGTAACAAACCCTTCATGCTCCTATAGCTTTAGAGGAGTGGAAGATTAGACCAATTAGACCTCTATTACCTATTCCAGTCAATGAACATAACCCCAAATGGAGCCCAATCGTGCCTACCAACGTTAGACTAAATTGCACCTTAATCAAAAAAGTGTGATCTTTCCACAACTGCACTAAATCCCCCACTCCTACTTCCTCCCATAACAGCTATAAAATCATATTTTCTAAAAAATATATTCTTATGCAACATAGAAGAATAAACAACACCAGTATCAAAAAACCAACTATACCAGAATGACAGGGTGTAATCATTAGGGAAAGTTTCACTTTCCCTAACTAGGAACGTTCCATCCTTGCCACCCATTTCAGCACAATATTCCTGGAGCAGCCTCTCAGCAGTTGTTCTCCCCGCTTTCATTTTCCCATGGAACCATTTCTCGTTGCAGTGCAGCTCAGTACGTTTCACGTCCTAGATCACAAGAGAAGAGTTTCCATTTTTAACTGGTATTTTACCACGACAATAAATGGTTCTGTCTCAGTTAAAAGGACTTCTACAATGGCAGGTCAATTTTCTAGCTTCCTTGAACTTTCAATACCCTCAAAAAAAAGAAGGAATGTTTGTCTAAAATCTGAAGTATGGTTTGCTATCAAATGAAAAACCAACTATTAGCCACGTGCTGTGGGAGGTTATGGCTGTTGTGCACCTTTTCTTAATATTCCTCAAAAAGTTCTGTGTCAGGACTTTCATATTCCCCCTTCCTCAGCATGGAGAGGTTTATTATGGTTGTAATGTGCATTCAGGTAAGTCAGATCACTTTTCAGGTTGCTTACAGTCAAAAGATTTTCACCTTCCTAGACTTGTGCAAGTAGTTATGATCTGTGGCCAGAAACTTAAAGAACATACTCTTATAGATCAGAGCAGCTTCTATTCTAGGATTTTTTGACAGGAGGATTTTAGCTAATCACAGCCCTGAATAATCATATGAGACCCTCCCACCATTAAAACCTGCATGAACAGGTGATCTGGCTTGCATGTGGCTGAACTGTGCATACAGATGTTAGTGATGAAAGAGCGCACATGCAAACTTCCATGTTGACAGATGGAAGCCAGGTTGAGGCATCGCTGAAATTCCAGCCCTTACTGAGTCCTGTGCCTCAGCTTTAACATCTGTAAAATGGGGATAATAATTGCTCATCTCTGAAAGACCTTTGGATGACAAGTGCTATTTACAGAGGTGTGCTGTCAAGCCAGAGAGCTTTAAAGATTGGATTGCATCTGAAGAAGTGAGGTTCTTACCCACAAAAGCTTATGCTCCCAATACTTCTGTTAGTCTTAAAGGTGCCACAGGACCCTCTGTTGCTTTTTACAGATTCAGACTAACACGGCTACCCCTCTGATACTTAAAGATTGGGAGAGCAGTGGAATACATACAGCAGTGGAGACCAGCTACCTAGTAAAGAAACTTTTCTAACTTATTTAGAGATCAAAGATCATTTTAAATGGCCCACTCTCCCATGGTACCACTACTTTCAAGATAGGCATTATGTTTCTCAACTTTCTAGCAAAACTGTCTATATAGAAAGATAACTTTAGTAGAAGTGATGGCATCCGGTCAATTAGGAAACAAAAACATTATAATTAATTTATATCAAATCTTTGCAGAAAATTTTCCTAACCAAAAATGTCCATATGTGATACACTGGGAAAGGGACCAGAATAGACAAATTATCCCAGAGGAATGGGGTTTGATCTGGAAATGAGGGCCAGCAACCTCAGAGGAGTGGCAACAAATAAAAGAAAATGTCTTTAAGATACTGTTTCAATGGTACCTTGCACCAATCAAGTTAATATATGCTGAACAGGATGACATATTGGAGAAGTTATGCTGAAGAAGGAGGCTTTATGCATATATGGTGGATATCTCCAGTCACCTAAGTTCCCTCTAAGCTGCACAGCCGCACAGCAGCCTATCAAGGACCGGGCAGGTGCTCAGGGCTGCGACGGGGAGAGGCCCCTCTCCCCCAGCCCCAGATCTGCCACGGCAAGGAGAGGCGGCTCTCCCCCGGCCCCAGCCCTGGACCTACCGCAGTGGGGAGAGGCACCTCTCGCCCAGCCCAGGAGCTGCCACGGCAGGGAGAGGCACCTCTCACCCAGCCCCCAGCCCAGGTGCTGCTGCGAGGAGAGAGGCCCGGGACAGCCTGCACTCCAAACCCCTCATCCCCGGCCCCACCCCAGAGCCCGTACCCCCAGCCGGAGCCCTCGCCCCCCTGCACTCCAACCCTCTGCCTCAGCCCTGAGCCCCCTCCAACACACCTGCCACACATCACCTCCATATTGGAGCACATAACAAAATTCATTTCGCACATGCATGGAAAAGTTAGAGGGAACATTGCCAGTCACTAGAAAGTATATAACCAGATATCAAACTATTGGATATTTATTCCCAAATGATGCTTTGGAAATTCTCCTGGGGATTTCTAGTGGAAATGGTCACACAAAAGGAAATGAAGAATTAACCTTTCTTTTGTTAGTAGCTGTATGGCTATCGGTAATCTCTCATTGGAAAAGAAAGTCAGTCCTACCATAAAGGAAAGGTTAAAACAAATGAGAGGTTGTTGCTATGGGAAAATTAACAGACCGATTTAAAATAAACAAAAATACTTAGATATTTGGTTATCTTTTATTCAATACTCAGGCAAAGTAGATTCACCTGAAAACAAACCAGTACATCTGTCTAATTGTTTTGAATATTAACAGTTGGTAGTCATGCCTGGTCTGTTAAATACGCATAATCAGACATTTCACTCAGTTTAATAAAATCA